TGACAGAATGCTAAGAGATATTATAGGTGGCAGCTGACTTAATAAAGTATTTAAGGCTTCAAAACCGTGCCTTTTAGAAAAATAAAAAAAATAACTACTTCTACCACTTCAGGGGGAAAAGAAACAATAAATGTCAATTAAAAGTCATAGAAACATGATTAATTTCTTTAAGCCCTTCAGCATTCTACTGAGCTTTGCAAAGGCAAGACCTAAAACTAAAGTGAATTTTATAGCCAGGGTTGGTCGGAATAGTTTCCTCATACTATTCTTTCTGTCATGCTTCTTTAGTGCTTGGAATAAAATGACAAGTACTGGGATCCACAGGAAGAAAAAAAAAAAGGAACTCCATTCCAAAAGAGGAACTGAGCTGACAAAATCTATTTAAAATCTAAAATTAGAAATAAATAAATTCTTCCATCCCAACTACATTTTCAGAGAGTTCATTAAAATTTAAGGCATTTTTGACATGTCAGAGACTTTAGCCCAGTGACAGGAGAAGAAAGAAGCTACCTGGGAGCAAATCCCAATTATCTCTATGGCTTGGAACATGCATGTTGAGCACAGCCGAAGATGAAGAGAGAGTGACAGGTGACTGTGCAGGAACTTCCTGACTCTGTCCAGCTGTACAACTTTACCCGGGTTCTTCTAAAAGGGTGCGTTTCAAATGTATTTCGTTCTTCTGCTTAAATTTTGACCAAAAATGGAGATAGACTCATCAGCACTGTTAGTAAGATAAAAATGAGCAATGCCAAAATAATTTCTTCTTTATAATAAGATTTTTAAAAATTAAACATGAAAAAGGTTTATACTAAGTGATGCCCTCCCTGAATCTCACACCCAACAATAAAATAATGGCAATATGCCCATGAATCCAACAGTAGAGATATACACAAAACACACATTCATTCAATAACAGCATCATCCAGTGTTTTACCCACCAGCCAGATAAACACAATTCTTTATTTCTCTCCCACTTTCCACAAAAACAAAGACATAAGCTGCTAAATCAAAAGTTACAAATCATACCTTATTGAAAGATGTGAGGCAAAACATTCAACAACCCTGCTCATGTGCCCTGCTTCTCTCAGACAACCACCAGCTTTTTAAAAACGTGGGTTAAGATCTATAAAGATGACTGTTCATTGGAAACAAACCAGAGCGCCCTAGATCATCAATGGCCAGGAAAATCCCCTTTCTGTCAGTTCTAAAGCAAAATTGGCCAAATCCAACTTCAAACTGCTTTCAATAAATACTATTGAAGTCGTGCTAATACTAGTAATCTGTTCATCATAGGAAATATCATAATTACCTGGATCACTTTTGAGTAAGAACAACAACACTTATTTCATGACTGTTAATGGTATAACCACATTCTTCTTATGAATACCGTTATAAGCAACTTTCTAAAATTGAATTCCTGCCTTATTGACTTTAAAAAAAAAAACAAAAAACCACAACTCTGTGAAGTCATAATCCTCTACATCCTGTAGCAGAATGATAACTTTTGATGCTTGACCAAGGGCAAATATCCCACTGCCATTTTCTGGAGACCACAAAATTATTCCAATACCTTTGTACAGTTATCTGTACTTGTATACAAGTCATCCCACCTTCTTCATGATTTTGCAAGGTGATTTGATAAACAGGCCTTCCCACTCATTTTTAAATCATGCTTTGAGCATTACATAAACTGTTTAAGCCATTTGACTTTTATGATAGTGTCACTTGTTTGTATTAATGGAAAGTCAAGGTTTCTCCTTGCTTTTTCCCCCCTAAATATTCCTTCAACACCTCTAGTCAAGCTCATCTTACCAGTTCCAACAAGAATGGAATTTCAAAGGCAATTATAAATTTCGATATAACCCAAGCACATGCTGATTCTTCCTAAAAAATTACTGCTTACTTAGGCTTCTGAAATCAAGAAAGGTACCCTATGATAAAAACAAAAAGTTTATTGTCTTTCTTTGTTCATCATTTTTAATTTTTTTTAAAAAAAAGATGTTTCAAGGTCTTGTCAGGAAAATAAACATTGGGGAAAAAATAACTATACCTTTAAAAAGTTTTCAAATCTTCCCTAAAACATAAACAAAGAAATGACAAAAATGGGATCACAATGCATATGCTACCTTCTGCCCTCCACAGCACACTTTTCATGTAGAAGTTATAAATAATAAAAGTTACCCATTAATTATATGGCATGCATCAACAGTGCACTGGTGGGCTTAACCTTGGTTTTCAGTTAGGTGTATATAACTGGAATCTTTCAGTTATGCGTATATACAGATAAATCTCTTCCTGAGTTGAGCTTCCTCTTCAGTTGAGACCCAAACCATTTGCTTTCCTATTTTTGGCAAGATACTTGACCATGTGATAAGGCAATCAAACATTTCAACCTCCTTCCCTTTTCAGCAGCACGGCCTTCTCTGTAACATCACCAAAGTGCCGGGTACGAGGGTGGGCTCTAGACTACGGTCCTGTAAAACTAGAGAGCAGGTTTCTTTATTCATCAGTCTGAAAGCAGCAGCACGGTCTTTTCATATATTTGGAGATCTTGAAGATTTCAGTTGAACAGATTCAAAATGGTCCTCTTTTTCCTATGAAGGAAATATATTAAAACAAAATCAACTCATTTAAATTCCAGTAAGATTTTAGGATCTTACATGTCCAGAAGGGATGTTCTGGCAGTCATTTTAATCTAGGTGCCTGCCACTCATAATTAGGATTTTTACATTCAAATAAGGGTGTCCAATATAAAACAGATAGAAGGCCTGCCCTGAAAGATGTTTTTGATATCCAGAAGATAAGACAGACAATCCAAAATAGGAGCAAACACATGACTGCTATAGATACCAAAAGATGTAGCTGTTATTCTTGTGAATAACCCACTGAGATCTTCCTAAGGGGACATTTGACCTGGGTGCTGAAATAGATGACCTTGCCATGCGAATTGTGGACAAACTAGAACTGACAGAAACTAAATATGCTCAAGATAACATAGGCTAAACATAAGAAAAAGGCTGGCAGAAATAAATAAGGCAAACAAAGACATAGATCAATTGTTTTAGGAAAATATTTTGGGCACATATATGCCAAAAATATGAAAAACACGTCTTCTTTGATAATAAATAAAAATTTTGACTCAAATATGTCACAACTGGTGATTGTTATAGGACACATTCAAAATGTAGCCTGTTATGCTGCCATTTGTGCCAACGTGGATGGATCTAGAGAATATCATGCTAAGCAAAATAAGTCAGATGGGAAAAACTCAAGATCCATATGATTTCACTCATATGTGGAATATAAAACTGAAAAGAACAAATGAATAAACAGGAAAAACAAATACAAACTCATAGACATAGACAACAGTTTGGTGGTTACCAGCGGGAAAGGGAGTGGGGGTTAATAAAGGGTAAAGGTGGCCAAATATATGGTGACAGAAGAATTGACTTTGGGTGGTACACACAATACCATATACCAATGATGTATTACAGAATTATACACTTGAAACCTATAAAACTTTATTAACTAATGTCACCTCCAATAAATTTAATAAAAATGATTTTAAAATGTAATCTATTAAAACAAATAATTCTTCTTTAATGGAGAAAAAGAGAAATAAGAAGTGCAATCTCTCCCAATGTTTTCACCGTTAGAGTCAGAAAAAGCTTTCTGAAGGCTGTTGGAATGAGATAGGGAACGATGCTATCGAAGGGAATAAAGATGAAGAGGACAAGGGTCATTTTTAAAATAAAGGAAATAGGAGGCAGACCAGCCCTAGGTGCAAGTGGCTGTGTTCTAAAGTAGACGAGTAAAATGAGAAAATAATAGGAAGCTGACATTGAGTATCTGTCAGAAAGAATGAGGCCGCTTTGGTGTTGTCTCTCATTTGAGTGGAGAAGTCCAAGACGCCAGACAAGCTTTAAGGCTACAGGGACAGGGTTATAGAAGAAAAATCACAGTGTGCACACCAACCTACAGCTTTGCCCAGCCTTTGCGGAGATGACAAGTCCCAGGGAAAGCAGACTGCAAACCTCAGCACTCGAACTCATTGGCTCTGTGAGAGTTGCTTGGAGTCTCATGTTTACCAGACTTAATTTTTTAAATAACCATTGGTAATTCAAATGTTTATTAAGTACCCACTGTGTTATACAAGAACAGCACTAGACTTTAGGGATACAAAATGTCTGCCCTCAAGGAGCTCAAAGTATATTACAGGAAAGAGCTTCCAGGTATCGCCATGAACTAGAAAGGAAAGCTGAGATTTTCTCCATTAGAAACTCTGATTCTGCCCATTAGAAACTCTGGCGATGGAAAGCAGGCTTTCCCCAGGGGCATCCTTTGGGGTTTTAGACTCGTCACCCCCTTGACATGGCTACTCTTTTTTAAAAAAAACAGAGATAAGCTTATTACTGAGCTTCTGTCCAAACGAAATGCCATTTTCACGCACACCCTGTGACTCTAAAGACTGACAGTCCCATTCGTGGTGAATCAACAAGGTTGAAAGGGCACATAAGCATCACCTGTCAAGTATAAGTAGTATGTTCAAGGATACAGCTGGCCTGGCCCCAGCAGCATCTCCGCCCCATATTAAAATGTGGCAGCATACCCTTTGGGAAAAACGTTATTCTCTATCTCACCAATCAATACAAAGTCACTAGCTCCACGGAGCCCTCCATTCATCCATGTTCTACTATATGCCTGGGCCCAGTTCCCTGCTGGTTTGGTTGAGCTGAAACCCAAGGGTTCTGACGCAGCTAACTAATCTCAGCACCAGGTAGGGACACAGACTGAAAATCGACACGATCGCCCAGCACCATGGGCAGAGCCCAAAGCCGTTCTCATGGCTACAGTCAGTACATCTCTCGATAGGACTCGCTATATTTTTACTGACGTAAGCTGTTAGAGAGTCAGTAAACTGTTTGGTCTGACACGTGGAAAAATTACAGGCTGGTACATTAGTCAACCTTCTTTGGGGCCTCAAAGCCTGGAAACAAATCTTAGGTGTCTATCAAATCATCCGGGTCACTCACGTAGGAGCCCACAGTAAGGTCCCATCGTCTGAAAATACCGAATAGAATTGAGTAGCTGATAGAGGCGGCACCAGACAGTCTGCCACAAATGTCGCATGGATCCATCATCCTGCCCAACACAGCAATGAACTTGCCTGCACAGACTGAGTATGAAGCACTCTGTTTTTTGGGGGAGGTTTTTTTGAGGCAGAGATTACCACAGCATGCCAGACTTGGGATCCATGCCAAAAGTTGACCAGTTTTCCTCACATAGATTACATCAGATCTTTGTCCACCTCTCTGGGCTAAGAGTGGTACCTCACCACTTATGACACCTGTTCAGGATATGATGTTACTGTTCCAGTATGATCAGCTAACTCCAGCCATACCACTATGGCTCTTGAAACAAACCTGCTTAGTATTTGTGGCTTTGTGGACCATTGAAAGTCTGTCAATGGTGTCCTTTTCATCACAAAAGCTACCCAGTACTGGTCTGAAGGTAGGGGTATTTAGTGGCCTCCCACACTTCCTCCCATCCAAAGAAATATAGTGTTTTTGAGCATTGGAATGGCCTTCTCAAAAATGGACTAAAAAATATCTCTGACTCTATCTCCCTCACTTCCTCCTGGTCCACACATCTTAGTAAGGCAGTGTGGTTATTAAATATGGCTGTCCCCAGAAAGGGATCGTCTTCTCTTGGCTACTCCATGGAAAGAACAGGGGGGAAGATACTAACTGAGTCTACATAAGGTTATATACATTATAAGATTTTGCTGTGAACACTCCTAGGTATGATGTGTCCTTATTTACCCCAACAGCAACCCCTACGGTGATAGCCCCTCCAGAAAAAGCCCAGAAGATTCAAATATAATTCTGGTTTAGCCACTTGTATTATCTTGTTGGACTTTCATGATCCTAGACCAAAAGGATATGGGCCACTTGGTTGAATAAACTGCTCATCAAGTCCTCCTATGCCTACATGGACAAAGATGGGGGACACACTGGGTGTCTTATGTTTTTTTAAATGCCCTTGTCCCTCTTTCACCTGAATGTTCTGGAACACAGGTTTAGGTGCCAATAGGGGATGAGTATAAATAAGGTGAAATTTTAGCTACTAAACTGGGATAAACTGATTTTATGGCAGAAGAACAACAATGCAATCTGATAATGAGGCACTTGGGAGGAGGTACCGTAGACAATAAAAGGTAGGGGGAATGGAGGAACATTAGTCATCATTTTTTTTCAGAGGCACCCTTTCACCTTCCCATGAAGGAAAATGCCTTAGTGTTAATCTCTCAAAATTGAACTGATCACTGGGTCTACCATACCCACCAGATGCTCTTCTCCTTAAATCTGTTGGAAGTGGGACTTTGGGAACTGGTATAATTGCTGATACTCTAGTTAATGCTTCTGCTGTGAGTGTCCTTGGTCCCTGAATAGGAATCTCATGTCTTCTAAAGTGTTTATGAAACTATGGCAGGCTCACTTGTTAGCTTGAAAGTAGGGTAAAATATCAGTTCATGACAAGCACTTCATATTACTATTGCATAGTAATAGTATCCTTCCTAAACTACCATATTAAGAAAAGAAACGTAGCCTTGGCCAGTATGTCTCAGTGGGTTGGAGAGTTACCCCATACACAAAAAGGCTTTGGCTCAATTCCTAGTCAGGGCACATACCTAGGTTGCAGGTTCGATTCCTGGCCTGGGTGCATACCTACAACTCTCTCTCTCTCTCTCTCACTCTCTCTCTCTCTCTCTCGCTCTCTCTCCCTCTCTCTCTCTCTCTTTCTCTCTTTCTCCCTCTTCCCCTCTCTCTCAAATCAATAAACATATACTTGGGTGAGGATTTTAAAAAAATAAAAAGAAGGAAAGAATTATTAAATAACCATTAGTAGAAGAGGAATATGGCTTATTCATTTTATTTTTAAATGATCCTCTATAATAGATTCATGTGGTGAAATTAGGAGTAAAAGGAACTGGTTAATAAAATACTTTCAATAAATTCATCTTTTGTCACTTGTCCTTCCTTCTGAAAATCATTTCAAATGCATATTTTCTTCTGTTTGATTCTATTTTTAATCCTGAGTGAATAAACTGGTCATTTCTATCTTTTAAGTCAATAGTGAAGAATGTGAATAAAATGTGTTTATAAATAATATTTAAGGCTTCACGTTATCTGTCTGGATATGGTAATCATTTCAAAGCCAACAAATGTGATGGCATCTGATAAGGTGCATTTGCTACCTCAGCAGTTTACATAACTTCTATTTTCTCTGCATGAAGCAATCTCATTACAAAATTTTTTTAAAGAAAAGTATAAATGCACATGAGATCTTTCATTAAAATTTTCTTTTTTAATATTATAATACATTATCTTTGTGAAAATTCAAACATGACAAAAATGTCTTATTCTAAAGACTAAAGACACCCATTAGTTCAAACTGCCAAAAAGCAACTACTGTTGGTAGTTTGTTATGCAAATACTAACATAAATATATATTTATTAGAAATGTGACAGTCTATGTGTTTTTTTTACTTTATCTTGGATCTACTGACATAGGTATTTATATCTTTAATAGCTGCAGGGTTACACAGTATTCCATTACGTTGCTAAATGAACATTTCTTATCTAACTCCATACTTACGATGTTTAAGGTTGTTTCTGCTTAGTTAACCGGCAAAAACAATGCTGCAGTGAATAGTCTCGTATTTATATCCTTATGTACTTCTAAGAGCATTTTTGTTAGATAAATGCTGAC